TACCCTTGGGGCCTGAAAATCATACCCAACTTTGGTATTTCTTTTTAAGAGAATAATTGACTAGTTAACTGTTTATAAGGGCTTTGTTATAATATAAAAGTATTTTCTTGTTTAATTTCGTGTTATCCCTTACTGCCACACGGTTTGGCTTAGAAGAAAATACCAAAAATTTTCATCGTCTACTTGCCAATTACTAAAGAAGTACGTAGAATTTTTCAAAAATATCGAGTTTTATAGAAATGGTGAACATATGAAGAATCGCATTTTTTCCCTAAAATTGTAGTATAAAAATGTTTCCAATATATAACAAAAATCCTATGCACTTCTTCACACTATGTAACAAAGAGTATTTTGCGAAAATTTCAAGTCAATCGGATGAAAACTGTAGAAGTTATGGACCATACCGACCTTAAAAACGTAATTCTGAGAAAAGCGCGTTTGAAGTTTCGATTACTTCGTTAAATCGACTCTAATGGCATAAAACCATCGAAATCATACATTAAAGCTATCTAGATTAGATTTTTAATAGTATAAACTAACAATCTGAGCAAAAAGAAAATTAAATTTTTTCAAAAGTCAAGGTTGGTCTAACTCCTTAACTTAGTAATTTTTATTCCGCAGACTTCGATCTATCCGGTAATTTCAATAATTTCGACTTCTTTGTACCAAGTTGTCCCCTAAATGCCCTAGAATAGAGTGAAGATTTTCCATTGGGACCAGCGAATAAACTCGATACAGTACGGATCCGTGAAAGTGTGTCACGTCGCTCGTTCCGCACAAATATGAAATAGGAAGCATAAATTCGTTCGAATTTACGGCCGGCCCGGACAAATGTCTCAACTTCGGAACGCGTTCCCTGAACGGGGACCACGTCAACGTCAAAACCAATTTCCCAAGTTTTATATCCACGGAACTTCGCTGCATGGCCGACTCGAGCGATTCTAAGAAACTTCCCGCGAGAACGTGTACGCAATCGCCGTCGGTACGCCTGTAATTTTTCGAAAATTTCACCGAACGCTGTACTCGTACTCGATAACTCCTCTACCTATAAAATGAACAGGAAGCTTCGACGTGCTGCTGGCTGATGTAAAAGGGTTGATGAAAAATTTTACGAAAAAGGAGTTAATGCTCTTCAATCGACTGGGAACTTTCAGTGGAACGGTCCGTCATAAGTCAGACGGCGGCCGAAAAACTTTCTGTACGAAAGGGGCGAAAGAAAAGTTTGTGAATTTTTCTACGAAAATTTCAAACTACCCTTTCTATTGTACGATATAAAGGATAAACGAATTCAAATTCGAGAAAATTTTTATCGACCATCCCAGTGACTGATTTCATGGTACATATGCTGCAAAGGATCGAAGATTTTTCTCTTCTGTAAAGTATCCTGTACCGGAGTACCTCTTTCATTTTACCGGAGTATTTCTTCAACTCTAACAAAGCAGAAAAAAATAGCCTCGATTCTTAAACTATTTCCCCCCACAACCAACCACGATCCTCTGCTTTCAATTACACAGTAGAAAATCCCCGTGCCTGGCCAGCCACGCGTTTCTCACGATCCCTTCACAGGCTTTCCTTACCAACCAGAGACATGAACACGTCGAGAAGTTTAACAGGTTGCCTTGGAGACGCTTGCCCGCCAGAAGATTGATGGGGAACGATCGCGACCGACTTTTGATCAGCTTATCGAGACTCCTCCTCTATTCCTCTCACTCAGGTACCTTCGTGACAACGTGTCAAGTCTTTGCTTCAAGTCAAAGTGAACGTAGAGCCCGTTAACTTGTCTAGGACGCTACAGAACACAAGATAGAACACGGTAAAGGAGTTAGTTTGACTCATAATGCGCTAACTAGCTAGGCTGACATTTATTCTTATAGGGTTTGATGGCTTCCGTGAGCGAGACTGGCCAGGTGTAACTTAAAATAAAATATACATATGTAACAGAAAATGAAAGGCGACCAACTAAACTTTATACAACTTTACACAAGACTTTATTACATATTGTGGGATCAGGGCCTGCATATCTATCAAGAGGATCAATAACAGCCAGGAAATTAATTCTAATGCGTTCTTTCGTTCGACTATACGCTTAAGGTATTTGGGTCAAAAAGGACCCAATTTTCATTACCAGCACGCTTATTAACCCTCGCACAGCCAATGCTGGGTCACTTTTGACCCATGTTTTAAGCATAGCGAAGAGGCGGCAACGTCTGCCCGTTCGCTTGGCTCAATCCTATCGCTGTAACATAAACAAACGACTGCGTGGAGAGTTCTAACGTCTTTAGCCAGATAGTATTGAATACAACAGCGAGAAGAAAAGATCGAAGAAGCTAAATAACAGCATAAATATGTTCGATTTGGGTCAAAAAGGACCCAATTTTCATTACCAGCACGCTTATTAACCCTCGCACAGCCAATGCCGGGTCAATTTTGACCCATGTTTTAAGCATAGCGAAGAGGCGGCAACGTCTGCCCGTTCGCTTGGCTCAATCTTATCGTTGTAACATAAACAAACGACTGCGTGGAGAGTTTTAACGTCTTTAGCCAGACAGTATTGAATACAACAGCGAGAAGAAAAGATCGAAGAAGCTAAATAACAGCATAAATATGTTCGAGATGCTACAAATTCATAGGAAATGATACCAAATACAGTTCAAAATGTGTAACATGCTTAAGACATATGTATATGTTCACAATATACGATAAAAAAAAATACAATTTTATGTACACAATGTACATAAACAAAGTAAATAATATATTCATAAAACATTAATATTTTCTGTTCTAAGATTTTTTGTTATAAAATGATATTTATTACCTGAAGATTAGTTTTGAAATACGTATAGTAAAAATTCCAGTATGGGTCAAAAGAGATCCGGTGTTGGGATTCCGAGTCACTGTTTTCGGTCGGCTGTTCCAGGGTTAAGGGAACATAAACGAGTATATGAATAACAATTTCGTTAAATTTTTTCGACAACAGCAAAAGTTATTTGAAGGCCGCATTAGTGTGAAAAGGGCGCCTTGGCTATAGGCATAAAGTTCCGGCTTATTCGGAGGTCGCAGGTTCAATTTTCGTTTAGTCCCTCAAATTTTTTCTCCGCTCCCATACTATTATCTCTGAAACCCACACCGAGTCTTCCACGCTGACTTACTACACTGATTTTTCCACGCTGACTTTTCCTTCTCTATTACTATTTTCCTTTCATTCTACGCAGACGGCACAGTATTTTCTCTTTCAACGAATGGTACACATGTCTCTATTATTATCGACTTTCTAATCATTCTTTTGTTTCGATCCGCGGTTAGGTACAGCCAGAACGGGATCACGGAAATTTAATTAAAACCCTGGTCAACCGAGGATGAATGATGCATTCATTGGAATCTGATGCACGTGAACCGATTTCGAGATCGCAGGGTCAAATGGAAAATGAGCGTTCACAGGTAACGACCGGTTATGCGGCTGAATACGAGCACAGTGAATACCGATTGATCCGCGGAACGAGAGACCAAGCGTAATTCGTGGCACGGTTTCAAGATACTTGACACAATCCCCATGCAGCTTGGGACAAATGCCTCCGTTAAAATTAACGTTCATGCATGATACTGTAATGGCTAATTCTTGGTAAATGAAACGCAATATGTACGAACAAATGATCCATTATTTCGAAATAATTCGAGCTTGAGAAAACAAGAATTGCAACAATTTCAAATCACCTTTCTACGTATTGTACAAGTCTAAATCTTAATTATCTGTTGGCTACATCGAGGGTCTCGCGACAGACACCTTTGACGAAGCCGAAAACTTTGTACTGTTTAATTAACTGTACGTCTAATCTCAAATCCCGAACATTCTCGTCGCTGGAATCGAAATAGGATCAAATCGGAAAAATTCCGAATTCCCAGAGTGAAACGAGTTTAATTTCCAAGTTCAAACGAAAGCGGAAAGCGACAAGAATGACGTACAAATCGAACAGCATTCGGAAACTAAAGCTATTAACAGCAATCGGATTCTGAGGTGTTCCTGGCTGATTAATACGATCTGATACTACTCCGCCTCCGGCCTATCAGCTTATTCGAACCACGCGATTCCTGCCACTGACGATTCGTTATAATTGGCCTTCGTTGAACCGAGCCTGCCACTGGTAATCACGGCTCGACTCTCGTCGTGTGATTTGCACGCTCCATTACCGATACCGTCACGCGGATTACTCGTAAAGATTAAAGAGCATTCCTGGATCGGCCAGGAGATCAATATACATCCCGATGATCAGCCGGATTCCGCTCGATATTCTTTCCACGGCCTCGCGAATAGACCAGAGATTTTACTATTTCACGCGCCCACTTTGTGGATAGAGTATCGATCTCTCTATCGGAGTGTACTCACCGTCGCGTGTGATACTTTGACGAGGGTTTTGTCTAGGGCTTTCTGAGCCAGCAGTCATTGAATAAAGATATGTAGGAGATTATCCGACGCTCCGGTACTATTGGGACAGACTAACTGGCGAAATACAACCTCTGACCTGAGCCTAACAGTTCTTCGTGTCTGAGCTAGGTAGCTTGGCCTGCCTTACCGACATTTCTACCAGATGTCCCGGGATGAAACGTTCGCTTCCTCTTCGAAAAAGGGAAGAATTTCTTTCCTCCGAGGAAACCGTCGCAAGATCTAGGGCAGAACCGCTCGCCAAGTTGCTGTGTGTGAAGTGGTCAGACAAACTCGAGCACGGAGCGATATTTGAGCAGTAGGCTACTGCCTACTTGAGCAAAGATTCTGTAGTGGGACATTGTATGAACGTCGTAGTGATCGCTCGACCTAAGAGTGAGAACTACGCTTCGAAGATAGGCTCCGCTGGGGAAAAATGTAACCGATGGTACTCCTTTTACGACTGTTGACGTCATTTGCCCCGACTCTGCTCGCAGGGTAAGAAAGAGCGCTGTTGCTCGCGAGAATGGCTGCCCGAGCAGCGTTTACCTAGGGAAAATGAAGAATAAAGAATGGTACTCACGCTCTCAAACTTGTCCTTATTCTTGGCGTGCTGCGCGATGAACCGGGCGTCGTCGATGGTCTTCTCGATCTCGCGAACCAACGGCTTCTCGAAGGTGGGGCTGACGTCCTCGTGAACGTACGCTGGGCTGGCCGGGCCGAAGAGGTCGTCGTCAGCCCCGGGCAGTGGCAGCGAGGGTAGCGGCTCCTCGAAACATGGCGCGACTGGCCCGACGGTGGCCACAGCACCAAGATCGTACCTGGTCGCTGACGGTGGCAAGCCGTGCGCAGGTATCTCGTACTCCCCGCTGAACCTCTTGCCGTAGTACGAGTCGTACTTATCAGTCTCTTGTACATGGAACACATCGGTGAGCATGCCCTCGGCCGGTTTCCCATTGGTCGCCTCGACGTCCTCGTCGTCGTCGTCGTCGTCGTCCTCGTCCATCGGCTCACCGTCGGCCGTCACACCAGCGACACCTACGCCGTTCCTAACCTCGTCATCGTCATCGTCCTCCTCCTCATCGTCGTCCTTCTTCGGCCTCTCGATCAGAAGGAAACGCGGCAACACTTGTATGAACACCACACGCACCCATTTGGCCATACGATGGGTGACAGGGGAGCGAAAGTTCACGTTCAACACGGCTATCGTCACCACCACGGACAACGTGACAAGTACCATCGTGAACAGGAGGTACTTGCCGAGCAACGGTACCGTTAACGACGTGGGCGGTATGATCTCGGCCAACAGTAGGAAGAACACCGTCAACGACAGCAGTATAGAGATCGACAGGGAGACCTTCTCACCGCTGTCGCTCGGCAGGTAGAACACCAGCACCGAGAGAAAAGATATGCCCACGCACGGTATGATCAGGTTCACCGTGTAGAAGAGGGTCTTGCGGCGCAGGGTGATATTGAACACGATATCTGGGTAGGGCTCCTCGCAGCATATGTAGAACGCCTCGTTCCTCACGGCAGGCACTTTTATGATGTCCCACTCGACGGAAATATAGTAGTCGGTCAGGTCGATCCCGACCTCGATGCGGTTCGACTCTTCGGTCTGGGCCAGGTGTCGTAAGTCGACCTGTCAACAACATCATTACACATACCCAACTGAGTTTATTGTTATTTTAAAACAAACACGAACACCTGACAAACGTATAAATTAACGATATTGCGAATGGGTTTCTTATTAATTCGAAATCTCCGACATTGTTATCGTCGTTGTTTCCCTTTAACGAGTGTTACCGGTAAATTTAGGGGATCGCCTATTTAATCCTGTCTATCGTAACCCGGAATCAGCCCGTTCGAGTAAATTATCCAACTAGCGAGAGAACGGTAATTGGTTCGTTTAAAGATTATCACGGCACAGTGTACCATCTAATTGAGGTTCTAGATAAGGAGCATTACTCGAAACGAGCCATTTGACACAGGGTTACGTGTACCTTTGCGCGTGTACGTGCCTGAGAGTGAAACGAAGATACAGGTTGATGAATAATAAAGGGTGAAACGTCGGTTAACTCGGTAAACCTTGGAATCTTTTTTTCCAGGGGAAAATAAAAGAAGAAGGACGACTATTCCTGCGTTGCTTTATCATTCGAGAATCACCCTGTAAGGTCTTTCCAGGACCCTCTGTACCGTGGAATATCCTTACAATTCCATTTTCCGCTGGCGGATCCAATTGTTTAAAAAAGAAGGAAACAGAGGAAGGGAAGAAGGAAGGATCAGCGGAGAAGAAAAGTCCGGAGAACGAAAGAAATTGGATACCTCTAATGGCGGCGGATGGCAGGCTTGGAGAAGTCGAATCTGAGACCGGGGAATAAACTCCGCAGAGCGAAGCCAAATCTCTTTGCCATCGAACTTCCTGCCGCTAGCTAGGCGCCCCTTGATCCCCTCTGGACCACTTCAGAGATCTTCCGATAGCTTCACGAGGAGATCGCCCAGCGTTAACCGCACCCCTTTCCTACCTTCTTCCCTTCGTTCGCTTGCTTCTTTCTCTAGCGATTGGTTAGACAACACGAAGGTTGCCTCGGAAGTGTACCGACGAAGTCAAGAATGAAGGATGGGAGTTTCTGAACAAGACCATATTTTCCGATCTTTCCTATGGCTCACGAACCTTTTTAGCAATTATTGTTTAGCTCATAAGCAATATCAATAGGTGAATTAACGTAGCAGTCTCTGTAGAAGATATTGCGACACTGACAACTGTCACTCGTGTTGATTGACATTACCTAAGGATTGTCTTGACAATATTCGCCTTATTTTCGGATCTTTCCTTTGGTAGGATCTAGCTCACAATCTATTTCACAAGCAACGGAGATTGTCTTGAAAGAGCACACTGACGAAGTCAAAAATGAAGGATGGGAGTTTCTGAAGTAGAGGAAGACCTTATTTTCCGATTTTTCCTTTGGGAGGATCATGAACGTTTTTACCAATTATTGTCTAACTCGCAATATCAAGAGTAGTTTCTGTAAAAGCATAATATTGCGACACCGATAACTGTCGCTCATGAAGATTGACGTCAGTAAGGGATCGTCTTGACGATCTTCACCGTCTCCTGAAGGACTTGTTGAGCCACGATTGACCGCCTCGAAGGAAATAAGGAAAACGACGCCATCGATACGACCAAGTAGGTCGAGCTCCCACTCCATGTCCCGTACACTTCCTTTGTCGAGTAACGAGCTATAGACTAGCCTAGCCATTAGATCCAGGAGTCGAAGAAAAATACACGGAAGAAAGTGGGCAGATTTAAAAGAAATTCTTCTAATAATTCCACCAGCTTTGTGTAGAAAATCGTGTACGGAATTTTGGATCCACGGGAAAAATGATATCGAACCGCGCTTCCTACAAGTTACTCTCTGTCCGGATGTTCATATCTTGCCAGACGTCGAATGCTATTTGCACGTGTACGGAATGGATCGATAGTTTCCTCTACTTGGAGTATTTGCGCCATTCAGCGGCAGAAACAGAAGCGTAATGCACTTAGCGGCGGCGTTTATGAGCGGACGTGTTCCTTTTCGATAAAATTCCAACGTCTATGCTTGCGGATCTCTGGATACCGAACAGAAGGCGCCAAACGAACGCATCGTTTCTGCTCCTTTCTGCCAAAATAAAATTCTTCCTTCGGTTCAAGCCTAATTACACAACTGACTTCCATCTCACGAAGAAATGCGAGATATTTTCAATTACAGCTCATTCTTTCGAACAAATTCTTCAGGATCACATAAATCTACGTGGCTGCTAACGTTACCGTTAGTGCAACGAACTGATCGCGATATCTCTCCGCTGACCAAATAGATTACGAGGTCAGACAAAGTCGAAGCTGGAATCGAAACGTGGAAACAGAAAAGCCACGGCTAGTAGGAATATCTTGGCCAGCAATGGACGCTCGCCGGAACGGTTTATCGTTTCAGACACGGGATTTATTCCCGCAACGGTTGTTCAGCGGTGAAATCCAGGGACAGCTGGATTTGTTGGCCTGGGATAAATCTGTTCGTACAAGGGAAGGTCCCTTGGTCATCGGGCGACCGCGGTAAGTATTTCGAACCGGCTGAAACCTTTGTCATCTTTCACTAGCGAGAAATTATTCTTTATTTCTTCGTCTGGAAGTCCGCAAGTCTGTAGAAGCGAGGAAAATATTGGGAAACACTTGCAAATCGATCGTGTACGAAGATCTTCCGCTGTGAAAGGGTTAAATCTCTCTTTTGAAGAGACAGACGATGGATTTTCTTGGGATACTTTTCCTTCCTTGTCTTCACTGATAAATTCAGCGGTTGACAATTTTTATTTCATTCGCGATGATATCGACGATGATTCTCACGTGGTTAAACGCGGGGAACGGAGGGGAAAAAGGCGAGGGAAGGTGCACGCAGCCGTCAACAGGCGAGAAAGTTTCGCTAGAGTCCGGGGGGGAAATGCCGACGAAGCGAGAAGACTTGTCAAAAGCGGGACCGATGAATCATGACGTTTTGCCGATGCCTGGCTCCGTGTACCAGTCGAGTATTGAGAGATTACACGTCTATATGGGCGAACGGGGGCGTGAAATATTTCTCACGGGAGATGCGCCGCCATTTTCGGCTGCTCGAGGTGTTTGAAACACCTCCGGATGCTTCAAAGGCGTGAAAGCTGCTCTAAGTGGAGTCGATAAATCTTTATGCAACGTGAACAATCGAAATTTTCACCAACGATAATTCCAATCCGGTTCGTTCTGAAATTTCATCGAGTCAAGAACGAGGAAAAAGTGAAAAGTGAAAATCGTAAAAATCCCCAAGACTACACTGGAAGGTTCTTAAGTCCTCACCAAGTGAAATTCGAAAGAGAACACACACACACACACATACGTACGGAGATAGAAAGGGCTTTTACAACAGACTCTTCGAAATGGAATCGATGAGTCGTGGCGTTTTATTGACGTCTGTTAGCACGTACCGCCTGTATCGAGAGATAGTCGAAAGAACGCAAGCGATATTCTCGTCTGAGAGAGGAGGAACAGCTCTAGAAAAGGGGGAAGAAAGCTGCCAGAGGTAATCGATGGTTCGCGACGTTTCATCGAAAACCGCTTGTCTTCCCTCCTCCTATTTCTCCACGCATCCTTCTCCTGGCACAAGCTACGTATAGTCATTTGAAAAAGGAGAAAACCTCCAATCATCCGGATGATCCTGATCGATTCCTCGAGAGGAACATCATGACGGTCAATCAATTGAATGGTAACACGGTTGGTTCTTCGCGAGAGGCAGAGAAGACGGTCGATTGCTTGGAAGAGATAAACGTGAGTCGTAAGACGCTGCTGACGCGAACTGTACTCCTTCGTGTAAACTTTCTTTCACCAAGAATGAATTCTATACACCGTTGGAAACCTTTGACGATCCATTGTTCCCAAAGCTTCCTGGATACCTCTTAGTTACCTCTTTCTCTACCAAGTTCAGACGCTTTCCCGTTATTCTACAGAGCTTTATCAAGAGGATAACGCTGATACTGATAATGACTGCGAAAGTTAACGTCGAGACTTGAAAACTAACCGACACTACCCCTACTCCTCGCCTGCAAACGAACCGGCTGAAGTTTCTCTCTCTCTGGGTAACTCGAAAGGGAAGGCAACCTGGGGATGCAAATTGAAAGATACTAAAAAAGAGTTTCTAAAGATCCTCGCAGGAGGTGAAGATAGGAAAAATGTTGTCACGGGTCGTGAATGGAGAGAACGAGCGTCTCTTAGCTAGCAATAGAGTGTTAAAGCGTAAAAGGAAGAGTGTTTGGACAAAGTGCTTGAGATTACGACGGTACGTGACTGTCAAATAGTTCGAAAGGATGTGGAACATGAAATTTTCAGGAATATCTAAACGTAATTAGACTACGTTCGAAGTACGGAAAGTTTGCAAAAGGGTATAATGAGTTTCAGCAACTTCACGTAAAGATTGCCAGATGCTGGAAAGACGATGACAATCGAGAAGGAGAAAATAGGCTGACACGTTCACACGTGGTTCCACGAGAGGCACTTTTTACCACGCACAATTTAGCGAGAAAGAACGGTAAGCGACCGGTGGTTAAGTAATTCATCGAAGATTTGCGGTGGCTCTGCAGCGGCATGAATTATTCCACATGATGAAACACACAGAGCACTCGAGCCGCTTTAGAATCCGGAAGCTCGGGGGATTCATGGCGGTGCGGAATGAAAGAAAAACACTCGGGAATAGAACTGTCAGCGTGACTTCTAACGTAATAAATAGTTTAGACGCGACGTGAAAAGTTCAACCGGCGATTTCTTCTACCCCCGCAGCCCCGCCCGGCAAATTCTACGAGTATCGGTGAAAGAAGGGTGAGGCTGGTGGATTGGAGCTTCCGGATTCTCCTGACGATCGATTCACCCCGCCTGATCTCCTCCGCTGAGTCGAATTAACCCTTTAACCGATGGATGGAAGTGAACCAGTCATTTGAAACTGCCTCCTCTCGTTTGTCAGTCAACTGATTATTTGTTAGGTCGTTCGGAATGTTCTGGCGAATTTAAACAATCATAACTCCGTCAAAAGTTATGCAAAATAAGAGCCACTGCAATCGATACACCTTGCTCAACGTTTCAGTAATTTATTTATGTCATCTACAAAACACAGGCTGGACAAAGAGAATGGATAAGTGGGTTTCACACGAGTTGTTCGATAATCAGTGAATGCTTCGTGCCTTCATTTGCTCTTCCCATATTCTAAGGAACAGTAAAGAATTGCAACTGCGATGAAAATTGGGTATTTTATGATAATTGAAAAAGATCTGAGCAGTGGTTGGACCTAGACACTTTCCAAAACCTAGAGCACATCCGAAAAAGATAATCTGTTTGGTGGTCTATTGACGGAGTTATTCCAGCGTCATTTTTTGAGAAAGAGAGAAACTATTACGGCGAACATGTACTGCAATGAATTTAGCGAAATGTGTCGAAAACCGTCAGTTATCCGTCCAACACTAATCAACAGAAAAGGTCTGATTCTTTTGCACGATAACACTCGACCGTATCCTATCATTAATTACAGTGCAAAAATTAAACGATCTGGGACATGAGACTGTACAATATCCATTCTATTCTTCAGACCTTTCTCCAACAGATTCTCATCTGTATCAAACATTTTGACGATTTTATCAAGAAGAAAGCATTTCGAAATGAACGCGATACGGAACAATATGCCTTTGTACATTCTTTCATATTTTCTTATCGATCGTAACGATTCTTATTTTGAATGAATATGTCAACTTTTGCCGGAGTTACGATTATTTCAACTCAAACGACGAAATTCGACAAAACTTTCCCAAGGACCTAATCATCGGGTATTTTTAGAATCTGATGAAAAAATGCCTCGACAAAAGGTAACATGTATACGATTGGTCAGAATGATATATGCGATTTTCCATCAGCGAAGAATCCTATTGAAAGATCGAACTCCCATATGAAACGTGTGATTCGAGGAAACCAGCGGTACACCGTCACAAGTAGAAAAATATGATTTGATGTACACGGTGACCTGTTGAAAAATATTTCATCGGAAAGAAACCGAGGACGTGATCAGATTTAAAATTTGATCGGTCTCTTAAGGAATACTTTATTAGACCGTGAGTGGAGGAGCCGGTCCAAAATATGACCTAATGGGATTATACGTGATCAGACTGGTAATGCAATTACAAGCTATTGGAACATTGAAAAATCCCATCAAATTACGGGACTGCGGACAAGAAGAAGAAGATAAAGTTTCGAGAATATTATTTGGTGCAACCACGAGGGAAGGAAGATTGAAATATAAATGTAATAAATCCATCGGATAGAGGGAGGCACGTACACGTTGACATCGCGAGAAAAGCTCGCGTTCTAAGGAGGACTCGGTCGACGTTCCATCGGTGCGTTCTTGCATATCTTGGTCGCATTGTAGCCGTGGCTCGCCAACCTCAGCATTCTCTCCTACCTCGCTCTTCTGCATCCTCTTTTTCCAACCAAGCCACGACCACAACAACGAAATTTCTTCGTTGTTTGTGTCTCCTTCGTTACTCGATTATTCTCCTCGTTATTTCCTCACGCAAGTCTATCTCGCGTGTAAAATTACTCGGGAATGTAATTCTTCGCGGATAAATTCGATAAAAATTACTCTTCGCTCGTTTTACGAACTGTTCTTCAACGCTTCTTACTCGCCGTTATGCAGATTCCTTCGCGACGGTAAAATGCATAAAACCGCGCTAGATGTTTTGCCGAACTACCGGCGGCAGCCAATTCTACTTTGACGTTGTGAAATTTTTTCCCAGGCACCGCCGTGGTGAGAGTTTCTAGCGATTCGAAAGGAAAGGACGACGCTTTTATTTAGCATAAAATTTTATTCATGTTCGCGCTACGATAGCCGCCCAGGTGGCACGCGTGAAAATTTCCTCGCAAAATGTTTAATGCAGAAAAATAAAGGGGGACAGCAGGAGGAGAGGAGGGGAGAAACTGTTGTGGCACCGGGAATTTTGATGGGTTGTTCGATTTTACGAAAACGATGCATCATAACGGGTGTAGTCAAAGCGAATAAAAAGCTTGCGGATGAAAAAAAAAAAGAGAGAGAGAAAAAGGAATATAGGAAACAACAACGTTACGTAACGCGTGCATTGTCGTGCATCGTTTACGAGCGTCGCGAGCGAAAAAGGAAAAAAGGGCGCCCCCCAAAAAAAAGAAACAAAACGAAGAAAAATATTTCGCGGATATATAAATGGAACGTCGATGTTCCGGTGATTTTCGTTTATCTCGAATGCTCCCGCGGCGTGAGTTATGCGCTCGATGATAAGTTCGCCGATGCGCTAAAAGGGTTGCATCACCCTCATTCGTGATAAAAGATGGATCACCCTTTCGAGACGAGTTGTTTTTTTTTCGCAGATGCACCTTTCTACAGTTTTTCCCTTTTTACTTCTACTTATAGAAGCGTTTCAAAAAATTTGAAACTTTGCGAGAACGTGGTTCGAGTGACGCTAATTACGAAACTATGCTTTGTTTCGGTAATAAAACGGTCCTGGGCGTGAAAGCACACCCTCCGAGGAAATTGTGAATTTTCGTAGTGTCGTGAATATTTAGGAAACCGTGAAAAATATGAAAAGAAAGTTGCGTTCGACGTTGTGTGGTCTTTGATGACAAACATTCTGGTGGTAAAGAATTTTAGAAACACATTTGGTTCAAAAGCATTAAGAGTAGGGAGGGTAAATTTTGAAAAAATACTTTTGCACCGCCAGTAAAATCACACAACTTCGAATTTCACTTTTTTTTCCATATCTTGCACGGTATCGTAAGTATTCACGATAATAAGAGAACTAAGGGACCGTTTCTTTGCCGAAACAGAAAATGGTTTCGTTATTAGCGTCGCTTGGACTACGTTTCTACGAAGTTTCGAATTTTTCTGAATTTTCAGTTTACCCAACGTCCTTCTTAGTTGCCCATGAATTGTTCCTCAGTATGAATAATTGTTCGTTAAACGTGATTCTTAATGTAAATCAAGAGGTGCAAATAATGTAATAGTTAGGTTGTCAGACAATTCTGAGTTATGACCGTAGTACATTTTTTTACTCGGAATTTCACGAGAATGATTAATTAACTAAATTACGATGAATTATCGTGCGAATCTTATTACTCACCGTGTACCCGTCGTAAGTCCACGAACCAAACTTCATGAAGCAAGTCTGCTCGTCAAAGGGGAAGTACTCCACGTTGATCTCGCAAAATGATTTATAGATCGCCGGAGGTTTCCACATGACCTTCCCCGTATGGTTCAAAATTGCCTTGGTCATAATGGTCACCTCATAGTTGCCATCGGCGCTGAAAACAAAATTAATGTCCAGGCTGATTTATGTTCCGTTTTTCTTTCGTGCCTCTTTAGAAATAAGTAGTTTCAGTATGGAATCGCGTCCTATCGTGCGTTAATTAATCACCCTACGTTTACGCTAATCAACATTTCTGCAACAATTGTGCCCGATGGCACAGCTAACCGGCCAGTAAAACCGTAAACCAATAGAACGCTCCTTTCAACTCCGAAATAAATTCCTGCCCTGCCATAAACTCGGTCCAAGATGCAATCCATATCCCTCCAGTTTTCAAGCTTTTTTCAACGAGTTCAATACTGTGACATTACTAACCCCCGACTTCGCCCTCAGCTCTGCCCGCGGGCATTGACGGGCGCCCTTGCCCGCCTGAAGCCCTGCTGTATACGGCCCTGGCTCCCGCTACATCAAGCTGTGCCGCCGCTTGATGGTTTAATTTACGAGCTCCCTATGTTTGTTCCACCGACTATCGTCGTGAACGCAATGGTTGGTACCTACTCTTCGCATTTATGGTTAAATAAAATCGCGTCGTGGGTCGTGCATCGTACAAAAAATCGGTTAATACAATTTATCGATACACCGAAGATAAAATAAGAGATAATTCTGGAGATAAACAGGAAAAAGGAAGCAAGAAAGTACACGCTCTAGAGTCTAGAGCTACGATACCGGAAAAACAGCGCTCTAGGGGAATAAACTTGACGGGATAATGCGGCTGGATTTCAAATATAATACCTGCTGCCGTTGTAGCTGCAACTGCACTTGTTGCGCTATTTTCACACACGACCGTTCGCTTTTAATATTAGCCGCGTTCTCAATTACCCCTCTACACAATTCCTCGTTCGTTCGCCATGTTACAGCAGAATCGCACACAATTCTTCGGTTTTCCTCGAACGAGAACAGCTTACTTATTTATCTACAATAGCCAAGATTAAATGCATTCTATATCTCTGAACGTATCATAATGCTAGGTCTTATTCTGCCAGTAACACATGTTTGAAGAAAAAGCACTGCAACTTGCAATAAACTTCTGGTCTCAATTTCGAAAACGAATTAGTATATTTAGTAAAAATTCGGGTAATATTAAAATCTGCACACGTTTCTGTACTAACATTTGAAGATACAAGAATTTATTTATTAAAGCTCTCTGAAATTGTCTGTTGATCTGACTTGCTCCCAGTCCTTGAGAAAACCTCCCCTTTTCCTATCAGTATCGAATACCTACCCTCGCTCGCTTTCCTCTTAGACTCCGCGTAACGGTAAACAGCTTTTCCGAAAAATATCAGAAGTTTCGCATTTTTCTTACATTATCTATAATTGGCAAGATTAATATTTATATCTCTGAATGCATCATAGGGACGTTACGCGATATCGATCACTATTTCTGTCGTCGTATAGCACGTTTCGTAGTTCAATAAATTCTCAGCGATAGAAGTAAGCGGTGGAAATATGGAAAATCAGCGGGAAAACCGCGTTTGAATCTTAATATGCAGTCGGCCAGGTGGCAGGAGCGCGTGGATCGCTTCGAGGATGAATGAACGCTGCTGGGAATTGAGGTTGCACACGTGCACCGGCGGAATAAAGCCGCGCGACCGACCCCGGCTTTTTATCGCGTCGAGCGCCGCCTGAAAAATGTATGGTCGACGAAAGAGAGGTGTAAACGAATTGTCTCGTTACGCGCCGATAACCTTATCACCCGGTCCGCCTGTTATCGGCTGATCCGCCTCTTCCACCCCTCCGTACTCCGCCAGCTGACAACTCGAGGAACTCTGCAGCTGTCTAGACTGATGGATCTCTGTTCGAATTCATACAACAGTCGAATTTTATCGCTTAATTAAGGATTTCACGGTACAAACGATAGAAACTATTCGATAAATTCGTCAAAGAGAAAGTTCGAAGTAAAATGCTTTAAGGGTGCATTCTGGTTTTCCGTCTCTTCAAGTCTCCATTACCGATTTTACACTGTCGAAAGATAAATACAGGCACAAACTGAAAAAAAAATGATTTGAAAGATTTAGAGGACAGTGAAACGTTAAAATTTATAACTGGCCACCTCGAAGTCCTGATTTAAACATCATCGAACATGTTTGGGAATATTTGGACAGAGCACGACGAAAAATTGAACCAAAAAATGCAGATGAACTGTTTGAGATATTACGAACAGAATGGCAAAGAATTGCAATTCAAGTCATTAAAAAATTATACGAAAGCTGTACCAGAAAAGTCAACGCTACCATTAAGGCGAAAGGAGGCCATAAAAGTATTAAAGTTTCCATCAAATTTATAACATTTTTCTATCATTTTTAATAGTACACTGTAAAATAATATTAGCACAATAAAATACATATGCTCAACTTAAATTTGTGTACGTTCTTTAACGGTAAAAACGAAAATTTGTAATATAACGTAGGTGGCCTAAGACTTTTGCACAGTACTGTATCTGCAAAGCATCGATATTGTCACTTTCTTTCGTCGCGTAGGAAAGAAATTATGAAATCGACTGAAAAATTGACCACCTAAACCTAAATACCTCGTTAATATCGTCCACAAACTCTACAAAAAGGTCCTCAAAGCTACAAGTTCACGACACTTGCAGTAAATGAATGAAATGTACGAGGAAATGCATCGTGAGGAAAGCAAATATGTACACGCATTCTCAGAAAAAGCATCGATAAGTAACGGTAGCCATTTTAGGCTGCAATGCCATAGTGAGGCAAGATGTGACACCCTTTGATCCACCACTAGGAAGCCCAGATCTAGGAATCGTTTACGACACTTGCGATTTATTATATTTAAAAGTAATTCTATCATAGAGATCTCCTCTTACAGAAATTTCTTCGGGAAATATTAATGAAACGTGTATTTTCCTGTTGTATAAACGACACAAGACGCACTACTGTGCACAGAGACAAAATTGTACAGAACGGTGAAAATAGTTCTGCACGCTCGATTCCCACGTAATCCGCTTTGAAGACACGCGCAAGCGGATTTGCAGTGTTTAACATCGAACCAGGGGGCTCCTTGATCGTCGCGCGGGGTTTGTTTGCAACGGAACTTCTGTATCGGATAAAGTTCCGTTCCCCGCCTAGCCGGTAATCAGGTTACGCGGACCTGGTCGCGTTAATGTGGGTCTCTCGCGCTCTCTGCGGCCGCTCGATAATTATGTTTCCGCTATCGGGCCTCTCTCAGTTTGCATATCTATGAAAAATATCTCCTTTCCCTATTGCCACCGGTAAACAGATCCGTCCACGCGTACTCCTCGCAGTACTTCGTTAATTTTTACGTGTTCGTCATGCGTGTCAATTTAACTTTGCGCGTGATAGTTAAATTAGACTTTCGGGAGAAGAGGTTTTTTTTTTGGTTTACCGTTGTCGATAGGAACTCGTGTCGGTTTAAAATCCGTAGAAAAATATTCCGTGAAAAATTCTGAAACTATTGTTATTATTCGGCGTGTGCCAGGTGGTGCAACCACCTGGACAGGAGGTGATTCTACGTGCAGCGATAAATCGGGAATAAGAGAGAAAATTTTGTTCGTATACTGCTTCGTTTTCGAGGTAATCGAATTTGAAAATTTGTCGGATACGTGTGCGTTTAAGTAGCCTCGATTTATGTTTCTACTAACAAGCGACGCCTGTGTTATGATTAGTACCGATGATTCGTTTATTAACGATTTCCTTGATTTAAATTTACATTACTAAACGAACCGTTGAAATTTTGGATACGGAATTTTGATGCTTTAATTGTTCGAAAGCTTGTACGATTTTTTCGTCTAGCTACAGAAGATGACACTATTTTGTGCGCTGATTACATATTTCTTTACAAAATGTGACATTACGGCTGTTTATCGACATAAAGATACGAGCGAAAACAACAGTTCGTAGACAATTTTTAAATTCAATGTTCTCCAGAGCTGAACTTTCTATGAGACAATTTTATTTCTACATTATCGGTTTGTTTTTTCATACAAAATCATCTCTGTTGCGATTGTACCACCCTGTATAGCGGAGAGTAGTCTGTGCCAGGAGAAGAAATGAAAGGAACAACTTTCTCTGTCGGTTTCTTCGGTGTTTACGACACGTCGAGAATTATTATAAAAATTCACTCGTACTCGTCAACAGGTGAAATCACGTTCCATGTGAAACTATCATCTTCTGAGTAAGATGAGTAAATCGTTCACATTCGCCGTTACAATATCCCCACTCCTAGTTACCATCAGAGCCGTAACTTCCTACCACAGAGTTTCCACACACTCCACCGTTGCACTTCATTGCTACAATTATTAGCACCTCGCCACCTAATCCTTCCCCCTTCTATCCGCGTGGATTCGATCGGGTTTAGCGTATCGATGAAGCGGCATCGCGGTCAAAGTCGCCGATTACAGGGTTGAATGGCGAAGGGAAGCGTCCTAATTCGCATAAGCACACCTCGGCATACAGAAAATTAGCTTAACCATGGAAAATTGCTCGCAGATCGACCGGAAGTTCCATGGTACACCGACATCTCGCTATACCTAACCGAACAATGCGTCCACGGGTTGATAAATTCTGTGGAGGTAGCGGCACAGCGAAAGGCTGACGTTTTAAACGCACCGTGTCTCCGGAATAGGGATTCCCGCATCTAAATAGACCTTTGTTTCGGAGGAACTCGCTACTTTTGAGTGGACGACGGCGACGTGTAATTATGAAACCTTGAGAATTCAGTGTGGACTTCGAACCGTGACTAGGATGGTAAATGAGCTAGATGTTAGGTGTACTAATGGGTAATGCGTTCATTTTGCACGAGAAGAGTGATTATTTTTTCAGGAAGATCTATCTTACGAGGGAACATCAGGAAGTGATAATCAGCGATTTTAACGAAACTTTGGTATATAATAGTCCTTGAAAAAATATTTGTAGGAAACGACGGAAAAATTTTTAGGGACACCAACGGGAATCGAACTCGGGACCTTCGGTTTAGCAAGCTGAGGCCTTGCGCGCTACGCCAACTACTCCTTCTATATTC